ATGTCTTAGACATTGTTTTTCATAAGAGAAAGTTCTGGAAATCAGTCCAGAGCACCATTATCCAAATCTTGATGGTGTCTGGTACAAGGCTTACAACAAACTATAAATGATCTTACAATTGTCTTTCAAAAACAAGTTTCATCTCTTCACTGCCATGAAATCTACACTTGCTAATTGAAAAACTAACATACAGGTGCTGTGGAGCTCTACAGCTTTTCCAGAATTACCACAGGCAGTTTCTCTGTTTAAATGCTCCCTTGTCTGGCATCTTAATTTAGGTATACCGATATGTGTACGAAGGTTTGAAACTGTGCATTTTTTTTTTTTTTTAGATAATGGACTTAACAGTGCACCATTAAATGTTTTGCTGTGTTCCTTCTTTTTATACTATGTGTTCACAAACATCGTCTAATAAACATATACGACTTTCATTGGCTGGATTTATATCAAGATGCATTTACACACAGGCAGACCCTATTTACTAATTACGAGACCTCTGGCAGAAGTTGGTTTTGCACTTGACTTTATTAAGGGATATTAAACTAATGGAAGCTCAATACATAAGCACACCTTTTAATATTTGATTTGTAAAAAATTATTTTATTTCTATGCCTCACTTATGCAGAATTTTGGATCAGCCTATCAAAATTTAAATTCACTTAAATATATCTTGCAAATAGAAAAAAGGGGGAAAGTTCACGGCATGTGATGTTTTTACAAGGCATCATACGTGCGAAAAAAAGATCTTGTAATCAGATTGGGCCTGAAATCATAGGAACTTTAAAAACTTCATGGCACTCACACCAACATGTTAACGACAGCACATCTGCACACACTACAGCTCGTCACATAACAACTATTTTCAGTTTCAAAGATCAATCATTAGCTGCTGCAGTGATTAACAGGGCTGAAAAGAAGAGGGGGGGGGGGGGTCCATTGTCGTCCTCATTTAACACCCCTTTGAGACTTAAAGGATTTCAGGAGCGGAAAAGGCTGAAAAAATAAAATAAAACAAACCAAGCAAACAGAGAGATAAGGCCTAGTAAACATGTCACCAGCACATAATTAACCAGGATACCACAACGCGCTATAAAATCTCAGCCAGTGCTGCAAAAGCACCCCACCACCATCCCCCTTTCTAAACGAGCTCAGAATCTCCTTAATACCCAGATGAATTGTGTGCCAGATACAATAAAACCCCTTCTTTATTAATTCTCCTAACGCCTGCTTCTTTTTAAGTAAGTAGACCTATATTTTTAGGTTGCCATGGAAGCAAGAACATGTTAAAAAAAAGAAACACAAATTGCATGGTAGGAGTATAGAGCTATTCAGCATGACAGTCTTTTCAAATTCCCTTGCCCTAGTAACTTCAGACTGACCAACATTTTACTTCATGCACATATAATTCAACATTTCAACAATCTGTGCTTCAAGGTTTGGATTACCACACTAGGGAAAACCGTAATGACACAAGTTTGATTATCTGGGCTCTCCTGGTATTTATACACTGAATAATGAGCACTGATCCATGATCTTCACGAGCAGCAAGTTAACTCTGCCTAATAACTGACATAAATTCAAATGCAATCTGACAAGATAAATGGCAGTTTACAGCTGAATGCTATTGGCTATGAGTGGTCTTGCAGAACCTAACAGCCGCCTGCAGTGAAGTATTACTCCAGTGACCTTCACACTTGAACCAGTGGCTCAGAACCACCATTGTCAATAAGAGAGTTCCCTCAGATCAATAGCTGCATGGGAAAAACCATAGCCTGTGTATGACAAAGCAGACTAGCAGGGGCAGGGACACCTGAGATGCACAGATATGAACAGCTAAATGAAACTAGACTGATAAAACCACTTTAATTCGAAAATCTGTCTTTTTTTTGTTTGAGTATCATACAAAAGAAATTAACTCCTCTTATAAGGGAAACACCTGTTCCTGTGCAGCTTGATAGGATTATTAGCTCCAAGGTGGTTCTAAAGATGTCCAGTCCCCCTGTTCTCTCTCAACCATTATGATTACTACATTAGATTACTTTTTGACGTTAATCTGTTTGTTTGCTTTGCCTGTGAATCTAATTATGCATGAAAAAGGAACTTGTGTCAATGTGTGCATCCATGTTGAGGTTAGCCATCTGAATCTCATATGATTGTGTATAGGTTTTTAGCTTTCCTTTAGGAGTTTCAGTGAAGTAAAATAAGATAAGCATTGATTTTCATGTGATTTGTATTTACTAATAGCTGTGTTCATGTAAACAATTAGACTTCAATATGAAACAAGTCAGAGCTGCCAGAACTGCTGAGTATTGCCATGTAAACATGATTTTTTTTTATCACGTTAAAGTGATAAGATCATATTTCCTGCAATTTTTTATTAAATACAGCTCTGTGAAGTATGTTGGTCTTCTGTGTGTCATTCAGGCATGCATTGATCCTAATAAGCATTACATTTAACTTGAGTGTTTTTCTTTTTTTAAAAAAACAATGTTCCTGGATTTTGCAGAGGTGTAAATTCTGGTTCCTACACAGTTTGCAGCATTTTCTTCAATTTTTAAGACCATCTATTCAGGTATAACTTAAAAAAGGGACAGATGGTGAGTGAATAACAATGGAGGGATGAATGGACAAACAGAGACGGCTGTTAAAATACATGGACAAGGACAGTCGGATATATGGACAGACAAAAGCGACAAACTGAACCAGGAAAACGGTGAAACAGATGGGCAAGTAAACAATCAGATGGATGAATAAATGGACACAGCAACCAACAGACAGAGAGATGGAAACAGACTGAAGATCAAATAAGAAATTTGTGCATGCTTTGTTAGGTCTATGGATGGATGAACAGATGAGTGGTGTTACATTCATGCTACTCCAAGGACTCGCTTATTTGTCTGTTTCATTCTCTCGTAGCAGCACGGTGACACTGAATGTCAACAAAAGAAAAGAAAAGGAAACAAAAAACATTTACTACCTATTCACCTGACGAAACACACAGGGAGGTCAGGGGTACTCATCTGAGGCATGGGTTCAAGCTTCCTCAGGACCACAATTCAGTCAACAATCAACATTTCAGAAGTGGGAGGATGCAAGTATCTTATAATATAACTAATTTCAGCTTATTCATCCAATCACAGACCCGATCCAGCAGCGCATCAGATGTTTGATAAGTGAGATTCTCAGGAGTGACAGCAGTGACAGCTAATCACACAAGAAAAGACGGCGGACCAATCAGGAGCTTGTGGGCGGTGTAAACTCAGGGAAGCGGGCTTCAGCTTGAGCTGTGGTTTTCCGCTTAGTCCTAGTGCTCTGAACCAAAACAGGACGTTTGAAAAATTAACATGCAGGGAACTTAAATAGACATAAAAAAAAATTAACATGCCCCCCGGCAAAAAACAAATGACGTCAATGCCGCCCGTACAGTCCAGCATCCATCAGAGAGCCATGAGCCATTCAATATTATGAAAGCATGCATTTATGTTTTATTTATTTAAATTTTTTAAAGACAAACCCCCACCAACAAAAAAAAAAAAAAAGAGAAAAAAAGAAAGATGTTTCCCAGTGGTGGGCCAGCAGGTGTGTAGACTCCCTGTGCTCTGGGCCAGACAACATCTAGCAAAACTCTGCGTTCCCCTCTGTTTTTTATCAAACCCAAGGTGAAGGCGTTTCCAACCAAAGCCTTCCTGCAGCGCAATTATCAAAATAAATAAATAAAGATCCATACACGCCCTGCATCCCCTCTCAGCACTCTCCCAGTTGCATTAACTGTCAAAATGTAACAGTGGATAGATGGCTAGATGATACAAAGTCTGTATTTGCTACATCATGTCCAAGGACCCCGAAGCACTTCAAACATTTGGTCATTCACTTACAGTATTTAAAGACACATTCTCACACTGATGGTAGTGAGGTTTACCACTTTATATAGATTCATGTTTCATAGTTTTATGCTGACAGCTATGCAGATGCAAAACAGATTGCATGTAATGTTTGTCCATTAAACAGCCTCTGGATCAGCTTCTGATTGCTTAAAGTTGCAGGGCCAGGTGAAAAAGTTCAAATTCTCTAACTATATCAAAAGCTGCTTTATTTACTTGCGCAGAAAACGCAGAGGCGGCTTCAAGAAACACAGTGAGTTGTCTTGAAGCCCCTCGAAGCTCATCTACCACCTTGCATGTAAACCAGATGCACTTAACGTTCGGTTTGAAAGTGGCATAATTCTAAGAGGCCGAGGATTACAATTACCACAAAGTTTCTCTACACATAGTCACTGTAAATGTCTTATTTTCTTCCGGTGAAATGATACAAATGTATACTTTACATGTTTTTAACAAATGCCAATACTTAATAACATTATTATTATATAATATATTATATAATATAGTTTCTATGTGACCTATCAACACAAAGTACTGCAGAAATGTGAGGTGAAACTGAAAATATGTTTTTATCAAATTCTTTTTACAAGTTGATCTTTTAAAACTGTGGCATATTTATCCAAGTGACAGAGATTTGAAAAAAAAAAAACATGTTACTATTTCTACAGACTTTTTCATATACCAGATGAAATCCTATACAACTGTTATTTTTGAATAGATCAGTCTCAACCAGACTGGGCGGACAGTGCTCGTAAACAACAATTTCTAAGCCTCTGCTACAGACAGTCTAATATCTCCTGTAGGCTGTAACAATTTCTCTTAAAGGACAGTCTTGTATTGAGCTTTGCCATCTTCTCGTCAACTTAGAGCAGCTTTTCTGTCACTGCTAAAGGAAAACATTCGCACAAAATGAGCCCACAACCAACACATTGATCAATCAGCCATGTGTATTTAGGGTGTTAGTTCTGCCACACGGCATTTTGCATTTAGGGCAAAGGTTCAGCATTAAAAAAAAAAAAAAAACATGCATTGGTTTTGTTGCACTGGTTCCAATGTAGCAAATTGTAAATACATATATTAACATATGTAGGACAATATAAATGAAGGGAATATACTTACGAATGTTGTCAGTGTTCTCCTGCACAATGTCTGTCTTCAGCAGGTTGTCAGCCAAGACAAAAGCCCCCTGCTCTACAGTGTCCAGCAGCATGGTTGCAGCTCTCAGCTGCTCGCCGGTGCTTAACTCCCTCCAAGCCGCCTGGGCCTGTGGCTGCAGCAAATTGTTGACCGTCTCCACCATGGCCTGGGGAATCCGAATGATTGATTTAGTAAGAAAAATAAAAAGAGAGACTGCTACTTCTTGACATGGTGATTTGGTAAATTGCACAATTTAAGGAGAAGGAGTTCAGCAGTGAAAAACAAATCCTACAATCCTATCGGGATGGTGCAGGATGAATGGTTGATCATCTTTATTTCATTTGAAAAGAAAACATCTGATTTATTCACAAAGTATGAGTAACAGGGTTAAATGTCCATCTAGTGGCTGCAACACCTGAATCTGTAATGGCACTGAATGTGTTATCTTGTTTTTTGTGGCCATTTACTTTCATCTGCAAGAGGAATTAATCATGTAAATGAATCAGAGCCAATGCTTACAAGACCAGAGGCCAGTTCTTGCATGACTGGAGGCTAAAGTCTTTAATTGGTGTGATGAATGATCTTCCACCGTGCACAGAACCTAACTACACAAATGCGCTGAAATAAATAAATTAAAACAACAACAAGTCAAAGCAGTGGGTGTAAAAAAGAAATGTTTACTTATAACAACTATCTGCGATCATTTAGTACAGGTCTTCCCTGCATAATAATAACATCACTAAAGGACTATTAACGCCTTCTTTAATCTGCCCACAACATGGTGAAGCAAGTAAGTACAGAGGGAAGAGGAAAAGAGTGAACATCCCCAAGACAAGATGAAAAATTAAGAGCCATTAAAGATTTAAAAATGCCAATGGCAAGATTTATGAATGGAATACTAATTGGTCAAGCAGAGCAATTCATTCCTGGTACCAACATTCAAAAGACCCAGCCATTTCTTTGTGGCCACTGGAAATTAAGATATGTTAAGATTTTTACGGTAGAGCTTGTAGGCTGCTGCTGATGGCAAGATTTCCCTTCAAGAAAATGACAAAAAACTACTTACAAAACAGCATTCTATATTTACCCAAGTCGTTTCATGAACTTGTATCTAAATAATGCATAAATTATTGGGGTAAAAAGGAAAACCAACCTTCCTTTCTCGCTCAATCACTGTATTGTGTTTGCTTTTTGTAAGATTAAGTAGAGTAACATGGTAGCTAGATATTTATGCTCGATTCTAGTACAGGATAACTTCATACTTTTTCAAAGAGAATTTTTAATCACATACTGCATAAATAATAATAGGAACAAATATGAGTTAATAGGGAGTAAATAAAATAACTGGTTTGGGTAAGAGCAGGTTTGAATGAAGAAAACTAGGATCAGTGGCAATATTTCCAAACGAATACACAAATGTGCTGAAATCATATATCACTGTCTATGAAAGTAATATAAGCTGTAAGTAATCATGTATTTTTTTAAACATTTTGTTAAAATTACTGTGTAACAACTGGTTAATCTACAGTATTGCATGGTTGGTTTAATGATATAGTCTGAAAATAAATTATACTACATTTTTCCACATTGTACACGAGTAGTGATTTTAGAGTCATGGTTTGTAAGAATCTAATGAATTTCCCTAAATTATAGCTTTGGTTACAAAAAAGATTAGCCTGCTAACGCTGCAGCATTATGGTGGTTCAACCAATGCAGTGTTCTTCTCATTTTACTTTTCATTGTACCTTTGAATAATGTTTTAGTGCACTACACAGTTGAGAAAATGTGCCATTCAACTCTGAACCTCATTCTAAAATGATTAAATCACTGTATATTGCTTAGACCAATTTAGCACAGATGAAAGGACCAGATTACATCACAGGTTTTGTCTGGATGTCACCTAAAAAACATAGGTAGTTAACTAATTATATAAAAAAATAAGACTGTGTCCAAACGTCCACCCTAATCCCTAACCCCTCAATCACTGTAGGAAACGGGGACTAGCATAGGGGACTTTGCCCAAATGTCAATATGTGACGAGTTGGGAGTGAGGGAGTGAGAATATGTTGGTTCGTTAAGTGACCATGGATGCACACCACTTTTCAATTAATTATCCATTAGACATCCGGACACTCATATAAAACAGTGTAATCTCTTTATAGTGCTCTATAGAGGGACATTAAGACACAGTCTTCGACTAAAATACATAAGGTGGAAAAAGATTATACCAGCTTGCAACATGTCTCCATTTTACCAAAAGGTTAATAAGTGAAATGATATATAGCAGTAACCTTATAGAGCCATGTTTAAGTTGGGGTTCAAACAGTGTGAGTGCAGGTGAGACAGCAAATGGATAGTGTTTTTTAAATTTCTGATCCACCAGCTCGAGTTTCAACATTCAAAGCATGTTAGAAACACACTAAACCCCCAAAAGTCACACTCACAAAAAAACATGCACAATAAAAGTCTGATGCAAGTCTGATCTCACACCACTGCAGCTGCTAGTCTGCAAGAACATACACAAAGTAGCAGACAGTTCGCTGGAAAACCTACTCCACATGCACAGGGAGTCTACCATCTTTGATGTAATTATTCAGTATCAGCACCCAATCTCCAATCACACCTTTTGACATTCAGCTAGAAGCAGAGGTTGATTCGCTCTCAATTAAGGAGTTCTTTTTCTTGAGGCACCGACCACCCCCCCCTTCCTTTGTTCACAACTTTAAGGTTTTCTCTCTTAAGTTCTTACAAAACTAGAAATAATGGATCTTCACAGGGTGAGGACTGATGGACTTGCAAAGGAGCACCTTGGCACATGTGGAGGAGATGTATAAAAAGGAGGAAATGGGGAAAGAGTGAATAACCTTAGAGGACAAAGAAGGTCAGGAAATGGATCAGGAGGGAACTTATGGTGAATTAACACAAGGAATTATGTTCATTATTTTTCTTTAGGATTGTTTTGTAGATATGTTACATTTATGTAACTCATTTAGTTAGGTTAAAACCTTATTCCAAATGCTAATTAATTGGTTTCTGTCATAAAAATTCTACACATAATACTCAAATAATCACAATGCGAAAACCTTTTTTTTAAGAATCTAACAATTTTTTTTTACAAATTGAAAACAAAGAAATCACAGTTACATGAACAGTACCATTCTTTAACGAGAAGCTTAAAATTAAGCAAAGGTGCACATATCTTTCATTGACTGGGTTTTACTGGTAATGGCAAACACCTTCCTATTTAAGGTACCATAGTGTACAGTGCATGACAGGGCACATACACCATGCAGAAAGTCAAAGGGATTGACCCTCATGACAGGTTTGTTCTGAAGCACAAATGTGATGTGGGGATACACACAGAAACATTTCTGCTGCTTTGAATTTCCTAGTGACCAAAATGGCCTCCATTGTTCAGAAATTGAATAAAATTGTAATCGCCAATACTTGGTGATAAAATATAAAAGTTGGCCCACCTTCTAAATTGAGTGATCAGGTGAGAAGGAACATAGTCAACATTGTGAGCAAGGACTCTATTGTCACTCTGTCCGGGCTTCAGTGTTCCGTTGTGAAGAGAACCATCCAGAAGAAAAGCCCTCGTTGCTTCAATCCACCATTTGGGACTGCATGGTAGTCCTATTTAAAGGGAACTAGGCAGCGTTCATCACCAGGCCAAAATCATCCCTATACAGAGACATAGTGGTAGCTGCTTCTTTCTATGAGGGTATTTATTTAGGAACACGAACTGCTAGACTAGACAGAATAGAGGGAAAGATGACAGATACAGAGACATTCAGGATGAAGACCTGTTCCAGAGCACTCTTGACCTCAGATTAGGATGATGGTTGATTTTTCGGCAGAACAACCCAGGACACACAGCCAGCATATCAAAGTGGCTACAGTCCAGAGCATCTGCTGTCCAACCTTGAGACTGATATGTACTACAGAAATTATTGGCCAAACTGTCTAAATATATGTATAGTAAACTGTGGCATCATATTCAAAATGAATTGGTGCTGTAATTGCAGAAATGATATCATTAATCTATTACCTTAGGCTTTTTTTAATACAACCAATTAACAAGAAATTCTGTATGGATACAGGTAGGTCCAGTTCCCTAGAGTTCCACAAAGTTTTAATGATTAAATACATTCCAATTTGGTCTTAAATGTAACAACATGATAAATTAATTTTCTAATACCAAGTAGAAAAAACATTACAGTGGCACAGATTATTCCTTTGTATTTCTAGTATGCACAAATACACATTTCAATGCAAACTGAATGTGAGGAAAGGAATCCTAAACTGTTTGCCACAACACCTTCCCGATGGAAGAACTATTTCAGAATTTTTGTGGGATTAAAGTTTCTTTCTTGTTTATATGCATAAATGTGTAATGACACAGGTAAAACAAAAAAAGATCCTACAGTTTTTCCATGAAAAATACAGTAGTTACGTTCTTCATTATTTCTGTGTGGTTTATTTACTACTACAGCATTTTGCAAGCAGTGTTAAAGCACTACTAAAACTAACCACTAAAAGCAGCTGTTTAAGTGCATTGCAATCAATAGTCAAAGCCTGCCCACCTTCAGACTTACGAGAAGAGACGCTACAAGTATCTTCAAGGTAAAATCTTGCTAACATAATCACCTTGAGGGGGTGAGTACGCTTTGTTCTCTAATGACAAGAAAAAGAAACCCACTTATAAGTACTGTAGAAAGATTTTCCTTGCAAATTAGTGCTTTGTCATTGCATATACCATCAAATGTTATCTCACTGCATAGAAACTACTTCCAATCAAATTTTAATAAAAGTATTCCAGGTTATTCCAGTTAAAACACATAGTCTCATTCAAAGCCAACAACATACATTAAGGATCCATCCTAAAACAATGCAGTCAAATGTAAATGTGGACAACAGGTTAAAAGTTGTGTATGTAAGCAAGTCCAGCCGATAGCGTTGGGATATTGAGGTACCCCATGTGAGTCAGATTGAGGTGATAGTGGAGGGCTGATTGCATTTTAAAAACACTTTATCTGGCTATTTTTGCAACTAAAGTTGACATGTTAAGTCAGTGATCAGTTTCAGGTGCTGCAAAGAAGCTTGCACTTAATCTCTATCATGCAATAAAAAGTAGGAAGTTACAATCAGAAAGACAGAGACGCA